ATCCAACCTATGTTTGAAGCAATTCAGCGCATTCGAGTTAATGATGATATTTGGTAACTTGTTCCATTCATCCACTACTCTGTTTCCAAACCAGTGTTTACCTATTTCACGCCTAAATCTAAATTTGTCTAATTTAAAACCATTGTTACGAGTTCGCTCCTGGTTGGATAGTTTGAGTACCTTTGTAATGTCCCCTTTGTTTAGCCCTGCCTTCCACTTATACACTCTATCAGGTCGCCCCTCGTTCTACGTCTCAAGGGAGTGCAAATTAAGATGCTTTAACCTGTCTCTATACTCAAGGTTCCTAATGCCCGGGATTAGTCTTGTCATTCTCCTCTGAATTCTTTCCAAGGATTCTATATCCATTCTGTAATACGGTGACCAGAACTGAACTGCGTAATCCAGGTGTGGTCTCACAAGAGCAAGATACAGTTTTAGGATGACCTCGCTAGTCTTGTAACTAACACTCCTTTGTATGAACCCAAGTACTTTATTAGCCTTCTTACGAGCAAAACACATTGTTTACTTGGCTTAAGGTTCCTACTTATCATTACTCCTAAATCTCTCTCGCAGTCGGATTTCTCTATGGCATCGTTGTTCATCTGGTATCTGGTTTCCCTGTTTACATCTCCTATACTGAGTACTTTACATTTGTCGACGTTGAATTTTATCTGCCATTTTTCAGACCATTCGAAAAATTTGTTTAGATCTTCCTGTAGTTTTGCCGAGTCCTCGTCAGATTTGATAACACGTCCTATTTTAGTGTCTTCAGCAAATTTACTTATGTTGCTGTCAATGCCGATATCTATGTCGTTTATGTATATAATAAATAATAATGGTCCAAGTACTGAGCCTTGGGGAACTCCACTTGTGACGTTGCTCCAATGGGACAGTGCCGTTAATGCTCACTCGCTGTTTCCTGTCCTGTAACCACGCCCTAATCCATTTAAGGATGTCCCCTTTGATGCCATGAGCTTCTACCTTTCTAATTAATCTTTCGTGGGGGACTCTGTCAAAGGCTTTGCTAAAGTCGAGATATACCACATCATAATTGTGCCCCTCGTCCACCGATTCGAAAACTGATGAAAAGAATGTTAATAGATTATTTAGGCAAGAACGGCCACTTGTGAAGCCATGCTGGGAATCATACGTACAATACATGTTAAGAAGGATTCCTAAGCATTTACATACACGGGGCATATATACACACAGACACGCACACCATCTGGGAGGGACTTACTGCACTACGAGTTTGCTGTTCAACACCTACATTAATCTGTATGTTCACTGTATGTTCCTTTACCTTTCTCTAATGAAGGCTTTTGTTAAACCACCAATGTATGTAATAGGTCATTTATGTCCAATGTATATATTCAGCCTTCGGGCTGCAGAATTTTTTCAATAAACCGTTAATTATTATTATTATTATTATTATTTACACACAATGGTTTTCCCTCAAGATCGAGGATGCCGGCCCAAGGACCACCTAGGCGTGAATTTGTTTAACGTGTAGAAGCTGTCGACAACACAACAATCACACCCTGAGTTAACGAGCTGCATGACCCAGTGTCAAGGAATAATCCGAGAAGACCTTGCTCTTGTGAGACCACACCTGGATTACGCAGTTCAGTTCTGGTCACCGTATTACAGAATGGATATAGAATCCTTGGAAAGAATTCAGAGGAGAATGACAAGACTAATCCCGGGCATTAGGAACCTTGAGTATAGAGACAGGTTAAAGCATCTTAATTTGCACTCCTCGAGAGACGTAGAGCGAGGGGCGACCTGATAGAGGTGTATAAGTGGAAGGCAGGGCTAAACAAAGGACATTACAAAGGTACTCAAACTATCCAACCAGGAGCGAACTCGTAACAATGGTTTTAAATTAGACAAATTTAGATTTAGGCGTGAAATAGGTAAACACTGGTTTGGAAACAGAGTAGTGGATGAATGGAACACGTTACCAAATATCATCATTAACTCGAATACGCTGAATAGCTTCAAACATAGGTTGGTGCTTATATGAGCAATAGGGGTTGGGTGTAAACGGGACTGCCCAGTATGGGCCAATAGGCCCGCTGCAGTTTCCTCCATTCTTACGTTCTTATGTTCACTGTTTTCTAGGCCGTAGGTCCGGGATTACGAGTACCCCTAGGTCTCTTTCACAAGTTGACTTCTCTAGGTTGATGTTGTTAAGGCTGTATACATTGACAATATTTGTTCTTCCAATATTAAGTACGCTGCACTTGTTGGTGTTGAATTTCATTTGCCATTTTTCAGACCACCCCTGCAGTTTATTTAGATCCTCCTGTAATGCATTTGCATCCTGCCCTGAATTAATCTGCCGCCCTATTTTGGTGTCATCCGCAAACTTGCTTATGTCACTGCTCATCCCAGTATCTAGATCGTTTATGTAGATTATGAACAAGAGTGGGCCTAGTACTGACCCCTGGGGAACCCCACTGGTTACACGATCCCACTCAGATTTAACACCATCTACGCTGACCCTCTGCGTTCTATCGGTGAGCCATGATTTTATCCAATTTAAAACTTTCCCCTCGATACCATGAGCCTTAATTTTTCTCAGAAGCCTCTGATGCGGTACTCTGTCAAATGCTTTGCTAAAGTCTAAGTAAATAACATCGTAATTTTCATCATTATCTACTACCTCGAAGACTTTCCTAAAAAATGTCAGCAGATTTGTTAGACAAGATTTTCCCTTTGTAAACCCATGTTGAGAGTCGTAGATTAATTTGCTTTTCTCTAAATGCGAGCAATAGTCAATAGGCTCATAACGTTACCAAGGTCATTATACTCAAGTGAGCGCTTTAGGTTGGTGTTGCGATTGGTGGAAATTAACAGTTGGAGGAAAATCAACTTTGTGCCGGGAAAAAAACAAAACAAAACATTGAATCAACATTGGACGAGTGACAGAGGAAAATGGAAGGAGGCTATTGTTTACATGGCTGTGATCCACGATTCACAGGAAGAACATAACAGATGGTGAGGAAATAGTTAGTGGCACCCATTACTGCTGAGAATATTTGAGAAAAAAAAGGAAAACAAAGAAGGACCAGCGAGGTATCAGAGCCTATGACGTTATGGAGGTGCCTATGATGTAAGAGATATACCTACGACATTATGAAGGTGCCTATGATGTAAGAGATATGCCTTTGACGTCAGAGAGATGACCCCCTCCCCTTTCACCTCCATCACCACCTAGATCTCTTCACTAGGTCTCACCACACTAAAGGAACTGATGACCCACTGTTGCTGTGAGTTACTACCAGGACTGCGTGTATCCATCCAGTAAGTAAAGTATTTCGCTATTGTTGTCCTGACACACTTGCGACCAATGCAAGCGAGGTTTTACAGACCACGAACATATATAAATTTATACCTATGATAATTATCATAGGTATAAATACTACACCTATTATAATAGGTGTAGTATTTGGGTCCTGGGGGGAAATAAATGCTTACAAGTTGAAAAGAATAATACTGATAATACAGAAGAAAGATTTGAGAAACCTCGACATTAATCCTTGACAGTTCCCGGGCATCCTAGGGTGGACAGCTGAATACATTTTCGGCTTTTGTTGTTGGGTCTTATGGGCGGTTATCTCTGGGTATCCTGGGACATCACTGGTGGATGTGAAGGTTAACTTGACCACGACTCTCAGTTGTTACTGCTTTGCGTAACATGTGGTGGGAACGTGTTGTTATTCCTGTGTGGAGGAGGTGTTGGGGAGAGGGGCCAACCGTCTAGCCGTTCTTGGGATTGAGGTTTGCTTCATAATACCTCTACCCTTGTGAGACTTCCTAGGCTCATTTATTACTCCTCATTCCCACGTTCCCTCATTTCCTCATCCAAAATCGTTCTCGGCTTCCCTCTACCACTCTATACTCCCGCTTACACCTCCCGGACAGATGGCCGAAGGACATTTGGCCGACGGACGTTTCACCGACGGACATCGAGCCGACGGACATTTGGCCGAAAGGACAATAGACCGAACGGATAAATGGCCGAACGGACATTTAGCTGAATGGATATAGGGCCTTTTTAATTTTTGTTGTTATTTTTCTGTCTTTTTTGCCTTGTATTTACTTTATAAGACAAAGGATAAAAAGATAACATAATTACAATGTGATACATTTGCTTGATATACATTTTTTTTTGACCTGACTTAACATGACTAGTTACGTCGCTCTTTCTTTTGTGTTTGTGGTGGTGTTGGTGAGTGGATTAGCGGATGTCATGTTTTTGACCTGACCTCATGTTTTGTAAGGTCACATAGTCCTTGTAATTCACTAGTTGAATTGAAATTGGGGAAAATAATACTGATTGTTTCTGAATAATGCTGATTATTTCCGACGACTACCGGATATTAAACACAAGACTGAAGCAATTTTTATTAAACAATTACATTACAATTAATATATTTTATCCTTTAGTAAATGTACAAAAAATACATTGCAAAGAAGAAAGGAAAATAAAAAAAAATTAAAAGGCCATATGTTCATTCGGCCAAATGTCCTTTCGGCCATTTATCCGTTCGGCCAAATGTCCGTCGGCTCGATGTCCGTTCGGTCAAATGTCCGTCGGTGAAACATCCGCCGGCCAAATGTCCTTCGGCCATCTGTCCGGCAACGCCCGCTTACTTTTATCTTCTTTCGTCAGCCCTTTTTTTCTATAACAGTGAACATCTATTTAGGTCTAAAGCTGAATAAAAACTCACATCCATCTTGGTAAACATCATTGTATAATATAACCTACAATGTCCAGATTATAAGTTGAATTCACGGATCGATTTGGGGACACACTCTCCATAAAGTATCTTTACGGAGGGTCCAATGAAATGCAAAATGAACACTGTGACTCCTGTTGTCTCGGTAGGGTTGTGAAAATCCTTCGTCCGTTGTGTCATATTGTCTAACATAAAACCGTAAAGATACTTTTTGGAGCGTGTGTTAAATAATGACTGCAATTTATATTTCAGATGTGGGGAGCCTCGCTGATGGTGTTGGCTGTGGGAGTGTTGGTTTGGGTAGGAGCTGCCACCGTCACCAACACCAACTACAAATTATTGCTTGATATTATACTCGAAGGCAATGTTGTTGCTGTTGCAGGGGTAAGCTACACCCCTAGACTTCTCACAACACCCCTGCCTCACTGACAACACCCCTGCCTCACTGACAACATACCTGCTTCCCTGACAACACACCTGCTTCCCTGACAACACACCTGCTTCCCTGACAACACACCTGCTTCCCTGACAACATACCTGCTTCCCTGACAACACACCTGCTTCTCTGACAACACACCTGCTTCTCTGACAACACACCTGCTTCCCTGACAACACACCTGCCTCCCTGACAACACCCCTCTTCCTTCCCCGAAACACACCTGTCTCTCTCTCAGCAAAACATTAAGTATAGCATTGTTTTGATAATGACACTGTATCCTGGTAATACTGTATCCTAGTAATGACATTGTTTACCGATAATTATAGCGCCCCGTTATACCTGCAGGTAGAAAGCCGAGTGACGTGCGGTGCCCGGTGCTCCTCGACATCAGGCTGCCAGGTGTTTAGTATTGAGAAGACGGCCGCTGCTACCTACTGCACCGTCTACGACAGTATCACCGATGCATTCCAGGCGTCTGGACTGGGTATAAAACACTACGTCCAGCTGGATTTTGGTAGGTATTGGAATTCTGATGGGGTGGTGTATACAGTTAGGTGGATGGTAGGGTTTCTCACACAGGTACGTGGAGGGTATGATGATGATAATGATGATGACCCCTTGGTTAACTGACAAGAGACAATTGGGTCCCCTGTCCTTATAATTCATATTCTTAACTAGTTACTGATTTAATAGGTTACAGTTCTTAATTTGTGCTTATAAGTCTAGGTGTCCCGTGAAGAGTTTGAAGTCTCTCATATTCAACATCTGATCACTCGTTTTAGTATGACTGTAGATGAGTGTTGTTGACCTCTTCATACTCACGTGACTAAATACTAATACAGTGAGTTACGGGATGTTCAGCAGGGCTCTGAGTGCTCTTGTCAGCTCATCACCACCACCAGGAAAGGTATTTAGTTAACATTTGCTCAGTTTGTGTGAGATTCTCTTCAGTTGTACACAAACCCTGTTGTATTTTCAACTTTCTAGATATTTTTAATTATTCAAATTATTCATATATTTTACTTTTGTTTTGTTAGTAAGTTTCCTCCTTTTCCGTGTGGTCAGTAAAACCATTTTTTTTTTGTAACTTCGTTTTTCTTTCCACAGAGAACAACATAAACACCCTCGTGGCCTTGAATACCCCTACGACGACCACCACCACTGTGCCCAGCGTGGTATCGGGTTTGGTTAGGAACGAACAGAGTGAATATAACAATGCGTGTCCTGTTGACATGGGAATTGGAGCAGTTATCCTGGAGAAGGGATCGGAAAAGCAAGGGAAGATCTATTACCTTGACTGTAGGAAGTTTCCAGGTTTTTCAATCGGAACCACTGAAAGCCTACTTCTACCGAACCAGACGTGCCCAGCCAATACTGTGATGGCGCAGATATTTGGTTATGATTCAGGGGGAAGTCTAATGAAATGGCAAGAACCTGACTCTTTGAAATATGTGTGCAAGGATGTAGTTGGCTGGACGGTAACCTCCACGTGTCAGGATTTGACGGTCGCAACTGGAAACACTTGGAATGGAGATGACTTCGCCGATGTGGTTGAAACAGAGTGGGATTATTTCTTCAACTGTGCTGAGAATTATTTGGTCGTGAAGATGATGATTGGCAAATATGATGATAAAATGATGTTCACTGCGGTGACCTGTTGCCTGGTGACACCTCCTCCTTGAATCCTTCCACTTCAGTAACAGGTGAGATGGAGGAGAACCAGATGAATAGGTAGATGGTGAGCTTCGCTGCTTTTTGGTGACTCCCTCCCTCACAGTAACACGTCACCGTGACCCCCTCCATCATATAAAATAGATCTCATGATTCAATTTTGATATTATAGAGAATGCCAGTTGTCATACTAGTTTCGTGCTTATTATAGGTCATTGTGTAGTTAGGTACAGCTATAATTGGTAAAAAAATAGTATAATTATGTAAACTGTAGGAATATATGAGAACTGGTGTCATAATAGCATTTGGTCATCTTCAATTTTATGATTGTTAATCCCTTATTGTTTCTCAGTAATTGTGAACACACACACACACACACACACACACTACGAAAACTTAGGTCACTTGGGACACCCACGCCAGAGCTGAGGACCATCTACAACGCCTTTATTCTCCCCAAACTAACGTATGCGTCTCCAGCCTGGTCGTCTTCTCTCAACTCCACCCAACAACGTCAGCTAGAGAAGGTACAGAAAAGGGCCTGCAGAATCATGCTCGGCGCAGAATACTCCGGCTACACCAACGCTCTCTCCACCCGGGAAATGCCATCCCTCAGTGACCTCCACCACCAAGCACTAGCAAGGTTTGGCAGTGGACTATTGCACCATCCTCGTCATCGCCACCTCCTGCCACCTGTAGTCCCCCGCCCACCTCGCGCAGCCCGCCACTACAACAAAATTCAGCCCATAAGAGCCCGCACCGATAGATATAAGAACAGCACCATCCCATCTAGTGTTAAAATAATAAACAACTCCTGATTTATGTACTGTACAGCCCTGTAAATGTATTCAATGCATATTATATCATTATGTCTAAATCAAATGTAAGTCTGTATATTTTCAGCCACCGGCTGCAACTCTATTAATAAACTGTTTATTATTATTATTATTATTACACCCCCACACACACACACACACACACACATTACCCAAGCTAACCTTCACACAGTGAGGTCCCAGGTACCCAGTGATAATTCCCCTGAGACTCCACTATAGAGAGGCCTGGGACCACACCTTACCCACTTGAGTGAGTAAAGTCCTGTGACAACAGACCACGTGATGTCCCCATGATGCTACGACACCACGTAGTGAATGAGTTGTTACAGCATCATGTGAAGTTCCTCATAACACCATCTGTGAGGGAGCTACTAAACCACGTCAGGTGCCTCATAACACCATCTGTGAGGGAATTACTACGCCATGTAATGCCCCTCATAGCACCATCTGTGAGGGAATTACTACACCACATCAAGCCCCTCATACACCATCTGTAAGGGAATTACTACACCACATCAGGCCCCTCATAACACCATCTGTGAGGGAATTACTACATCATCAGGCCCCTCGCAACACCATCTGTGAGGGAATTACTACGCCATGTAATGCCCCTCATGGCACCATCTGTGAGGGAATTATTACATCACATCAGGCCCCTCATACACCATCTGTAAGGGAATTACTACACATCAGGCCCCTCATAACACCATCTGTGAGGGAATTACTACATCATCAGGCCCCTCATAACACCATCTGTGAGGGAATTACTACATCATCAGGCCCCTCATAACACCATCTGTGAGGGAATTACTACACCACGTCAAGCCCCTCATAACACCACCTGTGAGGGAACACACCAGGCCCCTCATACACCATCTGTGAGGGAATTACTACACCACATCAGGCCCCTCATAACACCATCTGTGAGGGAATTACTACATCATCAGGCCCCTCGTAACACCATCTGTGAGGGAATTACTACACCACGTCAAGCCCCTCATAACACCACCTGTGAGGGAACTAGTACTCCACGTGATGCCCCTCATAACGCCATCTGTGAGGGAGTTACTACACTACGTGTCTGCTGTTCAACACCTCAGCTCACATGATCTACGTGTGTAAACATTTATCTGTATGTTCCTTCACCTTTCTCTAATGAAGACTTTTGTTAAACCACCAATGTATGTAATAAGTCATTTATGTCCAATGTATATTTTCAGCCTTTGGGCTGCAAACTTTATCAATAAACCGTTTATTATTATTATGATTATTATTATTATTATTATTGTTATTATTATTACACACACACACACACAGAGTGAGAGGTGTCAAAGCAACATTTAAATTGATACTAAGTGTGAGGGAAATTTCCACACAACTGATCTGTAACTTATTGACACTGAAGAGAAAGAAGTGAGTGATAGAAAGTAAATATCGTGTTTGCTGTTATACATTTAATATTTCTAACATTCACTGAAATGTTATAAACATTTCTTAAAATTTCCTCTCTTTTTTCCTGTTTCTTTCTTCATCTTCAGATATAAAGAAAAAATATACAAGACAAAATATTCAGACAGTTGAATATCACCATTTATTTACCTTTAACAATATATTGTAAGAAAAAACACACGTGAAAATGTGCTTTTAAACAATCAACTTAAGAATAGTCTGGCGGGAACGCACTGCCTGTTCCTCGCTATTCATTGTCGAGCCATCTATCCCACACTTTAACTGTTCAATCCTTCCGAGCTGATTAGTCCTTTTTGTTGACGATACAGAGGGGAGCCTTCCTGTCGAGGCAGTGTTCGTCGCTCACGTAGTAATAGTTGTTGTAGGTAATGGCAGCACAGTGGCCGATGGGTGGGTTTTCCGGTGCCTGGAGAGAGCTGTAACAGTAGCCGTTGTTGGCCAAGCGGGTGGTGTTGAGGTGTTCGTTCTCGGTGGAGCGAGGTGAACACTGCGTCTGGTGCCTGAGGACAGTTAGAGGTAGATATATCACTCGAGGGTATAATCACTGAACTACTCTGTGTTGAAGAGTCGGTTATCAGTCAGTCTTACACTTAATCTGGCATGGAGATTCAACCTTATCAAGTCTAATGGAAGCCATCAACAGGTGTTTACTAACTCTGCTGCACTGATCACACCTTAAACACACCTGAATTATGTGAAGCAGTGCTCGTATGAAAGCTAGTAAATCCTACAACTTACAAAAGAGAATTTGAACAACATTAATATGAAATTGAACCTGGGAAAAGTTTTATTACTGTTAATGTAAATATTACGATAACTCTTCAGTGAAACAATCCAGTGTTTCTCAAAGTTTTGTAGCTGTAAATATTCATCCAAAAATGTAAAGTTGTTCTTGGAAACCATTAGTAAGATCACAAGCAAGAAGAAAGTTATGTTAGCATGACACGTCCCGCCTGGTAACTCAAAGACACAAGTTAAAGATCCCCAATTATTTTATCCTCTTCGTTCTTTACTTTCGTCTTAAGATTTAATTACTTACATCGGGTTTATGGACGGATAGACTAACAGTTCAAAGGAATATACACCTTAAATATTTTGTGAGTCACTCGTAACAATGGTTTTAAATTAGACAAATTTAGATTTAGGCGTGAAATAGGTAACTATTGGTTTGGAAATAGAGTAGTGGACGAGTGGAACAAGTTACCAAACATCGTCATTAACTCGAATACGCTGGATAGCTTCAAACATAGGTTGGATGGATATTTGAGCGATAGGGTTGGGTGTAAACGGGACTGCCCAGTATGGCCCAATAGGCCCGCTGCAGTTTCCTCCATTCTTATGTTCTAAAAAATAATTCACAAATTGAAATTGATCAGATGAAACCATTCCAGGGGACGAGGGAGACATAAGTGTAGTTTTCAGTACCGGATTTAGACCTGTGGAGGCCCATGGGCAGCCTCTTTGTGGAGACCCCCTCATTATAACTACCCAAGAGGGTGGGGTGGCTAGTGAAGCGAGCCTAAACATCTGGGAGTTCCGGGGGGCGCTGTAAGCCCCCCGGGAAAATTTTGAAATTTGAACACTTCTTTGGAGAATTTTGAAGCCATATGCAGTTATATTGAGGAAATTAGAACATTGAGAAATTTGTAATTAACTGTATATTTATTGATCGTGTACAAATTCCCAACACACACACACACACACACACACAAAAGTGAGACATGACTGGAGTCATTCATGTGGTTTCAAGTCGACCAGCCCTGATATAGCTACTACCGTACATGTCAAAAATTTTCAAGAGACTTCACAGAAAAGAATATATTATTATTGCTGAACATAGTTTTACGTGATGGAATAGATAAACATGAATTTTAAAGAATGAAAATAAAATAATCCAAATGAATAAACAAATAAATAAAATAATGTAATTTGTGGAGGCCCCCAGATTGTGGAGGCCCCTGGGCAGCTGCCCACTTTGCCCACTCCTGAATCCGGCCCTGGTAGTTTTGTTAGATAATAATTTCTCCTTGAATCATAAATAAGACTCTTACTAAATCCGGAATTTAATGTGTCACATCAAGGGCCGAAACTTAATCTGACTCCTCTTACCTGTGAAGCACCCGTCTATCAACACAACTCTGACATAAATATTGCAACACGTCCAAAATATCGCATACATTAATGATGTTAACAATAAAGTACTTCAGTAATGTAGTATGTTAGTTTTAATCTGTCTCGGGATGTCAAAATAAACCAGACATCGGGTAATCTAATTGACTGTAGCATGCTGAGTGGTGTCCTATTACTAAACACAAAATGGCTGTATAGTGATAGGTACTATACCAATTAGTCTGAGATTCCAGGAAATTACAACTTTAGGTTCTTGATATTTCCCTTTCCCCTTTCTCTCCTTCCCTCTACTCCCCTTCTTCCCTTTCCCCCTTCTCCTCTTCCCTGCCCTTCATCTCTCCCTTCTACCATAATATACCTCAGTTTTATGATAAGCTTGACTTCACCCAATAAAGGGACTACAGCTTACCTGACAGCCCAGTAAGGTGAGCCCAGTTCCATGGAGATGTCACTCACAAACTTCCATCCCTCGGTAATGTTTTCCATGCGGCCGCCAATCCAGAAATCTGTTGTCAGTTCTGAGGAATATAATACAGTGGGACGGTGAGAGAGATAGAAGAATCTATTTCTGGGTGACACAGTATTATGGTGAGAAGTACAGGATACTGGCACTGGGAAATGTCTCAGTGTATGGTTAAGAAACAGTCGTAGAAGAGCCTCGTGTACCCAGAGTAGTTCACACACACACAAAACTGACGAATAAACTCACTGTGTTCCTTCAGGTGATTGACGAGAGCAGAATACTTTGTGACATCATTATCGAAAGAGTACAGCTCGCCTTTGATGGTATGGCAGAAGGACCTTGCCTCTCCCCAAGTCACCTATAGAAGGGTGGGGGAGGGGATAGTGAGGTGAGGCAGAAGCTGGGTAACTGATGTCAAGACGGATGATACTTTAGTTTCTTTAGTTCGTTACTTTAGTGGAGTATAACTGTTTAAAGATGGAATATAGGAGCAGGAACTGTACTTGATGCAGTTTACTTATAGTAGTTAAATATAGGAACTGAGTCAGTGTACAAGTGTTGAGACTGTACAGGTGTTGAATCAGTGTACAGGTGTTGAGACTGTACAGGTGTTGAGACTGTACAGGTGTTGAAACTGTACAGGTGTTGAGACTGTACAGGTGTTGAGACTGTATAGGTGTTGAGTCAGTGTACAAGTGTTGAGACTGTACAGGTGTTGAGTCAGTGTACAGGTGTTGAGACTGTACAGGTGTTGAGTCAGTGTACAGGTGTTGAGTCAGTGTACAGGTGTTGAGTCAGTGTACAGGTGTTGAGTCAGTGTACAGGTGTTGAGACTGTACAGGTGTTGAGTCAGTGTACAGGTGTTGAGACTGTACAGATGTTGAGTCAGTGTACAGATGTTGAGACTGTGCAGGTGTTGAGTCAGTGTACAGGTGTTGAGACTGTACAGATGTTGAGTCAGTGTACAGGTGTTGAGACTGCACAGGTGTTGAGTCAGTGTACAGATGTTGAGACTGTACAGATGTTGAGTCAGTGTACTGGTGTTGAGACTGTACAGGTGTTAACTTACGTTGCCGGGGAAGAAGATAGAGAGACAGGAGTCGCCGACTTTGGTGTACAGGTGTGGGCAGTCAGGGTGGACGAAGGTGTGAGCCGTCAGGTCCTCAAACTCCACCGCCATCTCCTCCGTCTCACTCAGGTCATTCCCTTTAAACACATCTGTCCAACACCACCACCTGATTAACCACCTGTTGTTTCACCTACCTAATGCTCAAACTCGCCTGTCTATCTAATTATACTGATCCACCTGTCTTATATATTTCATCAAGTACTAGAAGCTTAATGCTGCTTCTATTACTGATATTATTATTATTGTTATTATTATTAGTAGTAGTAGTAGTATTGTTTCTGCTAAAGGCTCTCTGATGACTACTATAAAGTATATATAAAAACTATCTAAAAAAATAAGTCGTCCTAATTAATAGAGAATGATCCCCTTCTCCATCATTAATATTGTATTATAGGGATACCAAGTTAGAGTCATTTGTCTCAATGCCGTCAGTGTAGCCATCACTTGTGTTACAGTGTAGCCTACACCTGGTTACGGTGTAGCTAGCACCTGCGTTAGTATACCGTACACCTGCGTTACAGTGTAGCCTAAACCTGCGATAGTGTACCCTACAACACCGTTACAGTGTAGCCTACAGCTCCATTACAGTGTAGCCTACACCTTCGTTTTAGTGTAGCCTACACCTTCGTTACAGTGTAGCCTACAGCTCCGTTACAGTGTAGCCTACACCTTCGTTTTAGTGTAGCCTACACCTTCGTTACAGTGTAGCCTACACCTTCGTTACAGTGTAGCCTACAGCTCCGTTACAGTGTAGCCTACAGCTCCGTTACAGTGTAGCCTACAGCTCCGTTACAGTGTAGCCTACACCTTCGTTTTAGTGTAGCCTACACCTTCGTTTTAGTGTAGCCTACACCTTCGTTACAGTGTAGCCTACAGCTCCGTTACAGTGTAGCCTACACCTGCGTTACACTTCTCACCTTCTCTTATTGTCGGCATAATAATATCTTCGGGGTTCTGCAGCTTCTCATTACGCAGCATCTATGCAGGTGAGATGGTAAATACATGATAAATGTCTTCTTCTTACCTGGTAGGTCTATTGGTAGTTATTGCTCACTTGAGTAACTATTATTGAGCTGGTACTTCGATACATGGGAATTTATTTATACAATATTTTTTGTCCACAAGTATCAACCAAGAGAGAGAGAGGGGGGTGGTACCTGGCAGATCCTGGGGTCAAGGTCGCCCTCACAGGGGGGGTCGCTCCTCTGGCAGTACTCTTCTATGGGGATACAAGAGGATGAGCCGAACCTGTGACATTTAACGTAGTTGCGATCACAGTCTCTGTTCTTCCAGAGCTGTGGAGAATATTTACACATTATTAGTAAAAACTTAACTTAGATCATGTGTTAGTGATAATGATACATGTTACAAACTGTACAGTAGGCTTCTGCATCTAGCACTCTTATGGGGCGACCACAGGAAAAAACAAAAGCAATGAAATCAAGCTCCGGATTCTCAAAGGTTCCACAGATAATCTTCTTTTTAGTCATTATATATTAGGTGTTGAAACAATACTTTATCATAAGTGGGTAAATTCTCATAACATTAAAATAACCTAACCGATTTTCAAGAAGGGAGATAGATCACTATCCTCTAACTACCGTCCAATCAGTCTAATAATACCTATTTTCAAGAAGGGAGATAGATCACTATCCTCTAACTACCGTCCAATCAGTCTAACATCAATTGTAGGCAAATTACTGGAAGCAATCATTTCAAACTCTATTCGAAATCACCTGGAGAAGCGCAGGTTGATCAATGATTCCCAACATGGCTTCACAAGCGGGCGTTCATGTATAACTACTCTATTAACACTCTTTTCATCTTTTTTTCGAATCAGTGGACGAGGGGCATAATTATGATGTGGTATATCTCGACGTTAGCAAACCCTTCTACAGAGACCCCACGAAAGACTAAGAAAAGTGGAGGCTCATGGCATTAAAGGAGATATTCTAAAATGGATTAGGCATTAGGGCATGGTTACAGGACAGGAAACAGCGAGTGACCATTAACGGCACTAAATCCGATTGGAGCAACGTCACTAGTGAAGTTCCCTAAGGCTCAGTACTTGAACCATTATTATTTATTATATACATAAGCGACATAGATATCGGCGTAGACAGCAACATAAATAAATTTGCTGATGACACTAAAATAGGGCGTGTAATTAAATCTGACGAGGACCCCACAAAACTATAGGAAGATCGAAACAAATTTTTTCAATGGTCTGAAAAATGGCAGATGAAATTCAATGTGGACAAATGTAAAGTACTCAGTATAGGAGATGTAAACAGGGAAACCAGATACCAGATGAACAACGATGTTATTGAGAAATCCGTCTCTATACTCAAGGTTCCTAATGCCCGGGATTAGTCTTGTCATTCTCCTCTGAATTCTTTCCAAGGATTCTATATCCATTCTGTAATACGGTGACCAGAACTAAACTGCGTAATCCAGGTGTGGTCTCACAAGCGCAAGATACAGTTTTAGGATGACCTCGCTAGTCTTGTAACTAACACTCCTTTGTATGAACCCAAGTACTTTATTAGCCTTGTTACGAGCAAAAACACATTGTTTACTTGGCTCAAGGTTCCTACTTATCATTACTCCTAAATCTCTCTCACAGTCAGATTTCTCTATGGCATCATTGTTCCTCTGGTATCTGGTCCTATTTTAGTGTCATCAGCAAATTTACGTATGTTGCTGTCTATGCCGATATCTATGTCGTTTATGTATATAATAAATAATAATGGTCCAAGTACTGAGCCTTGGGGAACTCCACTAGTGACATTGCTCCAATGGAACTTAGTGCCGCTAATGCTCACTTGCTGTTTCCTGTCCTGTAACCACGCCCTAATCCATTTAAGGATATTACCTTTGATGCCATGTGCTTCTACCTTTCTAATTAGTCTTTCGTGGGGAACTCTGTCGAAGGCTTTGCTAAAGTCGAGATATACCACATCATAATTGTGCCCCTCGTCCACTGATTCGAAAACTGATGAAAAGAATGTTAATAGATTAGTTAGACATGAACGCCCACTTGTGGAGCCATGTTGTGAATCATTGATCAACTTGTGCTTCTCCAGGTGGTTTCGAATAGAGTTTGAATTGATTGATTCTCTTAATTTCCCTACTATTGATGTTAGACTGATGGGCGGTAGTTAGAGGATAGTGATCTATCCCCCTTCTTGAAAATCGGTATTACATTCGCTATCCTCCAGGATTCTGGTACTACATCTGTTTTAAGGACATGTTAAACAACTTTGCTAAGGGCATACTAAGCTCTTCCTTACATTCCTTTAATACTCTGGCAAATATCTCATCGGGACCAGGTGACTTATTAGGCCTTAGTTTGTCTATTTGCTTACTAACATCGTTACTAGTCACTACTACCTCGCTTAATTTGTTTTCTTCACTATCTCTGAATAGAGTCGGTGCCCCGGGTATCATGTTTAAATTTTCGGTGATGAAAACTGTTGAAAAATATTTATTCAAATTATTGCTCATTTCTCCGTCGTTGTCAGTAAGCTCGCCGGTGTCTGACCGTATTGGTCCAATCTTTTCTCGTGTTTTAGTTTGATACATTTGGTAGAATCCTTTGGGGTTTGTCTTTGCCTCCCTTGCTATCCTTACCTCATTATTCCTCTTGGCTTTCCTTATCTCGGTTTTAACCCTACTCGCCAATACCTTATAATAATCCCGGAGGTAAATTTCGCCACGATTTATCCTTCTACCTATAGCCTTCCTTTGGCCAATGATGTTCTTTAAATAATTATTTGTCCATTTAGGGTCATTGTTGTCTGATCTGAGTTTTTTGTATGGTATGTTCTGCCTTTATTGCATTAAGTAACTCATTATTTAAATTGTCGTGGAATTCGGCAATCTCAGATCTCGTTATCAGGTCGGTGTCATCTGTCAGGTTCACGCTCAAGCGCGACACCCCTTCTCTCAGCTGCCTCTTTAAACTGTCAAAGTTTGCCCTTCTGAAATCTGGTACTTTAGTGGAATTTTCCTTTCGTCTGCCCTGAAAATCTAACAGGAATCTAATTTCTTTGTGATCGCTGTTTGCAATTTCGTTCCCAACCTCGACATTGCTAATGAGGTTTTCTCTGTTCGACAGAACTAAATCGAGTATATTATTACCCCGGGTGGGTTCGGTTATATGTTGACTTAGGAAACAGTCCTGGATCGTTTCGAGAAAATCCTCTGATTCTGAGTTACCTGTAAGGTCAGTCCAATCTATTTGGCCAAGGTTAAAGTCGCCTACTATACAGACTTTGTTGTGTATGGAAGCCCTGCGCATTTCATCCCAGATAAGTCTCTCATTGACTCTGTCAAGATTGGGAGGTCTATATATTACTCCTGTGATTAATTTTTCCCTACCGTCGATTAATTCTATCCAAATTGTTTCTGTATTCCGCTCAGTTTTTATTTCCTTATTTATTTCACACATCAGATTATCCCTGACATAGATTGCTACTCCACCTCCTTTCCTGGTCTGCCTATCGGTATGGAAAAATTTGCAACCCGCAATTTGGTATTCAGCCGGTAACTCACGTGAGTCTAGGTTGAGCCATGTTTCAGTGAATGCTATTATATCGATTTTTTCGGTACATACCAAGGCCCTAATATCATCCATTTTGTTTCTCATACTTCTACTGTTCGCATAGTAGACATTTAAGTTGCTCGTGTTCTGAGTCCTCCCTTTACCGCGTTTAGGTTTAAACTCCCTGTCTAATTTAGTTTTGTCTTCATTCCTAACACTATTTCCCTGTAATCTTTTACTTGTTTACCCGCTCCCACTGCAGTCTCCTCCACCCCCGTGCCCATATGTTCCCTAGCAGTATAAAGACTTCGATATCTTTTGAACTGCCCCCTCTAGAGACCCAGCCAGGGTTGCCACCCCCTCCCGAGACAGGTGTACCCCATCCCTAGCATAAAGGTCCCTTCTGCCGTAGAAGTTGTCCCAGTTGTCAATGAATGGGACTGATATTGACTTGCAATATCCGTCAAGACGGCCGTTGACACCAACTGCCCTTGACAACCATTCATTGCTAACTCTCCTTCTAGGCAGGACACCACATATGACAGGGATCCCTCCCTTAGTCCTAATACGATCTATAGCTGTCTTGTAACTTATCAAGAAGCTCTTCACTCCTACACCGCCCAATATCGTTGCCTCCTGCACTGAGGCAGATAATGGGTTTGTTCCCATTACCGGACAAGATATTGTCCATCCTGTCAACCATATCCCCCCACCCCAGCCCCTGGCAAACACACCCTCATCCTATTTTTACTTTTACCACAAAAGGCTCTATCCAAGTACCTTACCTGTGAGTCACCAACAATTAAAGTTTTTATACCTTCCTTGTCAGTCCTGTCCCTGGCTGTACTAACGTCCATTTTGTCTATCAAGGGACTGAACGAGTTGGTACACTTAGCTGTTGTTGTCGTTGTTGTGTCCTTGGTGTGTTTCTTAACAACCAGCTTGGTAGTCCCTCTCCTCACAACCTTCCATTCGTCATTCAACGGCTTTCCCTGTCTCGTTTCTTCCTTCATCCTTGATATCTCTTCCTTTAATTTCAAGTTTTCTTGCTCTAATTTCAGGGTTTTTTCCTTGGTATTCTCTAACTCGGCCCACAGAAGGGCATAACCCCGTTTACAAGTAGCACTAGCCATATCTGGTAATTATACCCGGGAGCGGAGCTAAGCTGCCGTGACCTTCCCCCTAGTGAGGTCAGAACACAATGATAGAGGTGTATAAATGGAAGTCAGGGCTAAACAAAGAGGACATTATAAAGGTACTCAGACTATCCAACCAGGAGCGAACTCGTAACGATGGTTTTAAATTAGAAAATTTAGATTTAGGAGCGAAATAGGTAAACATTGGTTTGGAAATAAAGTAGTGGACGAGTGGAATAAGTTATCAAATATCATCATTAACTCGAATACGCTGGATAGCTTCAAGCATAGGTTGGATGGATATATGAGCAATAGGGGTTGGGTGTAAATGGGACTGCCCAGTATGGGCCAATAGGCCTGCTGCAGTTTCCTCCATTCTTATGGTCTTATGTTCTTAAGAAAGGAAAACAAAATAATATACGATTCATTTAAGAACCCATGCAAAGTGTGAATTTCTCTTGAGAGGACAGACACGCTCGAGTAACACTCACTTTACACAAGCTGCTGTTCTCGTCTGAGTTGTCGCCGCAGTCATTATCGCCGTCACAGATGTACCGAATCCTTGTACACCGGCTGTTGCTCTCCTTGCACTGTATCTGTTCACTCTCCTCACACAACGAGGCCAGGACTGCGTGACATCACGGTAGACTTTATTAGTATTTAAACCTACTGCACACTTACTGTAATTATATTCACCAATGATTCAGAGAGAGAGAGAGAGAGAGAGAGAGAGAGAGAGAGAGAGAGAGAGAGAGAGAGAGAATCATAAGTAAATACTACCCAAAATATCGTTTGTTCACTCGAAACATGCAACTGACGCCTATGGTTAGTTTGTAACAAGGCAGCTGATTGGTTGGTGAACGGACACCTGAAGAATCACTAACAGTTCTTTAGTATTTAATCTTTCTTATTTATATTCTGATATTTTAAGGAATAACTTATTGCGCTGATCTCTGATAATGTCCACACTTGGGGAAGCAAAAATTAGTATGTGAAACACTCTTGGTAATGAGAGAACACAAACATGAGAGATGTCACTGAAATTTTGTACTTTGGTGTTTATGTCCCCGCGTAATACACAGCTAGCTAATAGACATAATGGCGCAGTGTGTTTAGGTTATTACGTGAGGCAAGAGGTACTTACCCACACTGCAGAACGCCAACAGCAGTAGAACCTTGAATAGATGAATCATCATAGCCCCAGAACCTTTGTATGGTTTACCTGAGGAGTAAAGTCTGGATTAATCTCTCACATTTAAGAAACAATTATTCAACATTCGAGAACTTTATGATGATGTTCTCAGATTTTTTATGGGGATTAGCCCACCAGGCCACAGGTCACTCAGTCACATCGGGGCCTGGGGAGCAAAAATGTAATAATAATAATAATAATAATAATAATAATAATAATAATAATAATAATAATAATAATAATAAAGAACCATAAAGAAATACAAAAATGAAAAAAAAAAGATCAAAAGTGAGAAACAATATATGTATGTTGTGTTGCCAAAGTAAGAAAAACAATTGAGATCCTACAATTGTGTGTAAATGAGGCAGAAAGTCAGATCAGCAACCTGGGACTTGGTCACTATTTTCGTGATGCCATATGGCAGCAGGGTCTACCATTAGGCAATATGGTATGCTTCCAATATCTTCCCAGGCAGTAGTACCTCCCTGTTTGGTAGCTGCCTACTTGGTAACTACACGCTTGAACCATGAGACAAGTTAAAACCTTCTGCCTCAACAGGAGTTTGTTGAGGAGAGAACACTGTCTGCTGTGGAGTGGGGTACCTTCAGCTTCTCCTGCAGCCATTCCTACAGACTCATACAGTGGCAGGACAATGTTAACATAGTCACAGGCCAGATCTAACACCAACAAACACTATATATCCACACACACACACACACACACACACAGTAAGCAAACTCATACTGATACTTTTACATGACCAACACTTACTACTGTATAAAAATGTGGGGACTGACGAGTGACGACTGCAGAAGACACTTCCTTTATATACCCTCTCCCATGGACATGCCACGCCCCCTAACGTTACCAGTCAACCAATGAAGTTTCTCGTCGACCATCAATATCCACACTCCCTTGCGAGAAGAGGTAATGGAGTGTGGATCAACGGCCTCATGTGCAGAAGAAAGAGAACATACCGATTAACAGAATGACAGAGTGAAAAAGGAGAATAATAAATACGTATAAAGAAAGTATTAATGTAAGAGTAGTGTAGATAGGCATATGGAAATTAAATAATGGTTTCCCTCGTGTAACGAGGATGGCTGACCCAAGGGCCACCGAGGCGTGAATTTGTTTGAGGTGTAGAAGCTGTCGCCAACACAACAACCACACCCTAAGTTAACGAACTGAGTGACCCAGTGTCAAGGAATAGTCCAAGAAGACCGGACAACTCGCCAACTGCACTGGCTAACTATGACCCCGGAACACGATCCGCAAATCGATTTTTTTTATACGGGGATTAGCCCACCCGGGCACAGATTACTGACCCACATCGGGGCCTGGGGGGGCGAAAATTTAATAATAATAATAATAATAATAATAATAATAAAAGAACCATAAGAAATACAAAATGAAAAAAAAAAGATCAAGAGTGAGAAACAGTATATATATATATATATATATATATATATATATATATATATATATATATATATATATATATATATATATATATATATATATATATATATATATATATATATATATATATGTTGTGTTGTCAAATAGTAAGAGAAACAATTGAGACCTGCAATTGTGTAAATGAGGCAGAAAGTCAGATCAGCAACCTGGGACTTGGTCACTATTTTCGTGATGCCATATGGCAGCAGGGTCTACCATTAGGCAATATGGTATGCTTCTCATTTCTTCCCAGGTAGTAGTACCTCCCTGTTAAAACATAAGAAACATAAGAAAAAAAGGAGTCTGCAATAGGCCGGTTGGTCTGTGCATGGCAGCTCCTGTCGAGAGTTACTACCACTCTCTATCATCCATAAATCTATCTAGCCTCCTTTTTAAACTTTCCAGCGCTCCAGCACTTACTACAAAGTTGCTAAGCTTGTTCCACTCGTCCACCACCCTATTTGTGAACCAGTTCCTTCCTATCTCCCTCGTAAACCTAAACTTATCTAACTTAAATCCGTTGCTACGAGTCCTATCCTGCTCGGATATTATAAGAACTTTATCTATATCTCCTTTATTGATTCCTTTCACCCACTTAAATACTTCTATCATATCTCCCCGCACTCTTCGTCTTTCTAGGGAATGCAAGTTTAGTTTCTTTAACCTATCTTGATATGGAAGGTTTCTAAGTTCCGGAATCATTTTCGTCATTCTTCGCTGCACCGACTCTAGTGAATTGATATCCATTCTATAATAAGGGCACCAGAACTGAACCGCATAATCGAGGTGTGGCCTGACTAGCGCAAGATATAGTTGCAATAAGACCTCTGCAATCAATAAAGGAGATATAGATAAAGTTCTTATAATATCCGAGCAGGATAGGACTCATGGTTTAAGACAGATAAGACCCAAATTTGAGAACAAGAAAAATTGACAGTGGAGACAAGCTTACTTTAGTTAGAAGGAGGCTAGATAGATTCATGGATGATAGAGAGTGGTAGTAACTTTCAACAGGAGCTGCCATGCACAGAGCAACCGGTCTATTGCAAACTCCTTATTTTCTTATGTTCTTTTGTTCTTATATCAACACCCGAGGACGAGTTACTACACCAAGAGAACACCACACCACCTGGTGTCTCCATGACCAGCCCAGGTCCGGGCCATCAACTGTAAACTATAATAATTTGTATGTTCAATTCATGTTCCTTCTCCTTTCAGCCTTCCGGCTGCAGAACTTTTCAATAAACCGTTAATTATTATTATTATTATTATTATTATTATTATTATTATTATTATTATTATTATTATTAAAATTATTATTATTATTATGTCCTGTTATAAACTCAAGAATCTCAATCAGTTCTAGCACACATAGAAAAGAATGTGCAAATTGATTTATACAATATATAGTATAAATGCCACTATTTCGTTTTAAGTAAAATTTTGAAAAGTTGAGAATTGACCCAAAAAATGGTGGTTGATAGGAAAAGTGGTGCCTGATTTATATAGACTAGAGTAATGGCAGTAACAGCACACTCCCTTGTCATAGGTTACTAGCACTATAAACTACACGAGGTCAGCATCCACCGGACAACACGAGGATAATCACCATGACCTTGAACCGCCCCTCTTCCCTTGGTAACTGTTGCTACTGGTGATTCAACTTGTCCCGGCTGATCTATGTACATTGTTTGACTGAGGTAAGACACATCCAGTGACACGTTACTTATGTGTCACTAACATTGTCTTGAGAACACATTTCACAGTGACTATGTATTCTTCATGAGAAACAAACTGAAAGTATCGATATTTTTGGGTCCATCCATTATATGTAACACAGAGTGAGTCGGTAGCAATTAGTATGACGGCCTCGTAACTGAAGCATAACACACGAGTATTGTAGTTTGTATACAACATCATCAGGCAGAAGTTGTGGGCCGTAAAGGAGACAGAACCACACTCTTCATATATACTCTTAAATCATCTTTTATCCTTATCTACGAAATGTTATCTATAATCTTGTTAAGGCGAGCGACACCAAAGCCAACATGACGTATAACAGAGAATGTCATGCCCGACTTACAGTAACATGTTACAGGAAGACTTTGTCATGTCATATCACTCCTCTATGACACGCCAATAATAATGTGTCACTGTCACTTTGAAGTGTGTTTGACCAAAAGGAAGTACATGACCATAATTTTGAGTCTTAGGTAGTAATACCATAAGGCATAGATACGTGTTGAAACAAAGATAATAAATATTTTGACGTTCATATTTGTATTAGAGTTAAATTAAGTTATATTTAGGGGAAGTTACGTTATTTTCATGGTGCGGTGGGCGAGTGGATACAGTTCTCGACTCTTATCCTGAAGGTCGTTGGTTCGCGCACCTGGGAAATCATCATTTGGCATATTTTTCGTTTCTGTTATGGCAGTTGATTATGTCTGTTTTTTGGGGGGTTAACTAATATATTATCGATTATATGTGGTGAAGCTGTATGGTAAGGGTGTATGGTGAGGGTGTATGGTGAGGGTGTATGGTAAGGGTGTATGGTGAGGGTGTATGGTGAGGGTGTATGGTAAGGGTGTATGGTCTCTCTCATACACACACACACACACACACACACACACTGTATAGTAAATAATACTCTCTCTCTCTCTCTCTCTCTCTCTCTCTCTCTCTCTCTCTCTCTCTCTCTCTCTCTCTCTCTCTCTCTACACGCCTTTGCTGTAGAGGTGGTAACTGGTTCTCTTGCACTAGGCTACATGGTGGACTTCTTATCTCCTTGAAATATAAAAATAACGAGGTCATTTGACGCCCCTAGAATGATACCAGATGCCCCCATAGGCTTGTGTACTGTAGATGACCTTAGACACGTTATGACATAGTAGTAGCAGTAGTAGTGGGTAATAAAATGTGTGAAGAAGCTGTGCTGTGCTGTGCTGTGCTGTGCTGTGTTATGCTGTGCTGTGCTATGCTGTGCTATGCTATGTTATGCTATGGTTACCTCTGAATCATTTTCAATATATTTGATTACCATTTGTTGTATTATTCTTATTATCGTTTCTCTGTCAATTTAGAGAGGAATGAGTAAATCAGTGAGTGAGAGTGTGAGTGAAGAGCTTGATCAGAGGGTGCGTGAGTAATTGAGAATATGAGTGAGTGAATGAGTGAGTGAGTGAGTGAGTGAGTGAGTCAAGGAATAGTAATAATAATAAAGGTAAGTATGAACATGAGAAAGAGAGAGAGAGAGAAAAAAAGTGAGTGAGAGAGAAATATAGAACTTGAGGGAGGAGGGAATGTGGGGGGTTGAAGGGAGACTATATAACAGGTAACCAACAACACCTGAGTCATTGAGTGAAGATGTTCCCCATAGTAATCACACTCCTGCTGTCTGCCGCTGTCTCAGGTAACCTCGTAGAGAGAGAGAGAGAGAGAGAGAGAGAGAGAGAGAGAGAGAGAGCATTCCTGTTTAACTTCACCTCCTAACCTGTCCACCTACACACCTGTCCACCTACACACCTGTACACCTTCCATATATAACCATATAAGAAACGAAACATTACAGTATAGACACATATGTAATTTCTTCTTGTGACTCCCAATTAGTATATAATTATAAGTTATCCATTATGTATGCTGAAGTATATAGAGTTTATGTATAATATAATATAATAAATGAGACGAAGGACTGACAAAGTATTTATTGGTTGCGTATTGGACAAAGTTCCCTGGACAGTATTGGCAACCTCAGATTTTATTATTATTATTATTATTATTATTATTATTATTATTATTATTATTATTATTATTATTATTATTATTATTATTATTATTATTATTATTATTATTATTATTACGGTATAATTTAGTTAGAAAAGTCTCATTTAGTAGCTATAAACCATATAAATATATATTACCTATCAGAGGATGACATCACTTTTAAGCGATATAGAGAGAGAGGTTCAAACAGACAGACAGTGAGAGAGAAATGCAGACAGACGGAGAGAGAAAAGAGAGAGAGAGAGAGATAATGAAAGAGAAGGTAACCAATAATAAGGCTAAAAGCTTCATCATACTATTACAAGTAATACGGAGAGTTTCTACAGGTACATGATAAAGGGTAAGAACAGGTGGGCTCACTCTCACGTACTGAAGACATGTGAACAGGTAATTGGTATTGTGTGTGATGACTCGCCCAGGTACAGCCAGGTGTTCTACTGACAAAAGTTCCCAGAGACACAGTACGATCATTGTGTTGTAACATCTCACTTTCTTCAGCTGATAGTGACATAGTGAAGATAAGGTTTATAGCTTAATTAATATACGTCACTTAACAATACCCGTATATAAGTGTAGCCAATTAATCTGTTTTACTCTACATTACTTAACATGAGTTTACTTAACTGTACATGACTCTACATGACTCTGCTTCCCTCTGACTATAGCGGACGTCAACATCAGCAGCGTTATCACCGCCCCCAGGACACTACTGGTGGGTGAGGCGCTGTACCTCTTCTGTCAGGTGGACGGCAACTACAACACCTGTGGCTGGGAGTCCCCCCTGGTGAGAGAGAGAGAGAGAGAGAGAGAGAGAGAGAGAGAGAGAGAGAGAGAGAGAGAGAGAGAGGAGAGAGAGGTGGAGACAGAGGAGAGACCGACAGACAGACACAGGCAGACAGACAGAGAGAGAGAGAGAGAGAGAGAGAGAGAGAGAGAGAGAGAGAGAGAGAGATTAAACTTATTGACACACATAAACCAGATCTATGTCTATGGCTGATACTCCCAACTGGTAAGACATATGGCTGGCTCCTCAGTGTAACACAGTGATGGTCTTGTTGGCGACACACTCATCTGTCTTAGGAGTTTCTCAATATCTCAAGATTCTTCCATACTTGTGCCGTTGTGTTCTTGGGTCTCTGAGGTGGTGCAGCTTGGATGTCTTATGTCTAGCGAAAACAAAAGTAGAGAAGTCATAAAAGAAGTTGATGTAGAAGTAAAAGGAAATCATTGTGTGAATTTGAGATACAGAGAGGAACTAGGTATTAAAGTCCTGAGAAGTATAAAATGACAATTATTTTTTTTTACAAAGGACTAGCAATAATAACCATGATAAATAGTATAACTAGGAAAGAAATTGTGATTGATTTATAGTAGAGAGAAAGTGTGAAGGGTTCGTGTGAAAAAGACTCCCTGCAATAACATCTTCTACACCCTACACCAGAACCACACTATCTACCCTGATGAGCTGGATCCTGACGCAGACGACATCGTGCCCTTCCCGGGGTTCAACTGTGGCATCATTGTGCTGAGGGTGAAGGAGGAACATGAGGGACACTGGGCCTGCGTCGCCACTACTGACGAAGGCTTCGAGTATAAGGGCGGAGATATTTTTGTCAGACGTAAGTGTCACCTGAAGAGTCATATACTAGTCTTCGTCAGTAGTTTCTCTTCTGTTCTCTTCTCTTCTCTTCTCTTCTCTTCTCTAATGACGTATCCCAAAGGTGTATTCTAAACAAACACTATAATTACTAACACGGTTTTTTCACCCAGTGGTATAAACCCATAACACGGAAAATATATATATATATTTTTTCAGCGATTAATGTTTATTTTGTCAGTCCAGAGTATAGCGTGTACAGTAAGTCGTGTTGTTTGAGTGAAGAAACTGTTTGATTTAGTATATATAATTTTTTTTCTATTTCCTCCCTTGTATCATCATCTTTATTCTTTCTTCAGTAATTTTATTTTATTTTATTTTTCTGGGATTATTTTTATTTCTCTTTTATTATCACTATTTAATACCTTGTTTTTCTCCTATCTCTATATTTTCCCTTCTTTTTATCTTACTTTATTCCTTATTCTTCTTCTCTTCTTTTTTTTTAATCCTACTATATCACTTATCCTTCTCTTATGTCTTTATTTTATTTTATCCCTTATCCATCTATTATCACATCTTCGCCTCCTTCCCTCCCTCCCTTCCTAAGTATTGTGAATGATGGCTTAAGGTAACTCCCTCCCCTTCTCCCCGTCTCCCCGTCTCTCCTCTCCCCTAGTGACTCTCTCTCTCCGTCTCTCCTCCCCCCTAATGACATGCTCTCCCCGTCTTTCCTCCCCTCTAGCTGTGGCATCCTGGCCTGGGGTGATAGCCAACGTGTCCTCGCCCCTGTTCGGGAAGTGGGGAGTGTGGGGAGAGGCCCAGCTTTGTCCCCCCAACTCCTTCGCTGACTCGATCACACTGAAGGTAACTGACTCAATCACTGCTAATTAGTCAGTCGTTAATAAGCTGTTGTTCTGAATGATTTATGATAAACTGTGTCCAGTTTGAGGAATGAGAGAGAGAGAGAGAGAGAGAGAGAGAGAGGATATGGGATTCATTGGAAGATGGTGATGTGTGTAAGAATAAAGATATTTTGTTGAACATCATCATCATCATCTCATCATCATCATCATCATCATCATCATCATCATCATCATCATCATAAATGAGTTGTTGGTTGGAATTTTTTCGTAAGATGGCATGTCAATGGGTAAAGAAAACTCGTAAATCCACTTTGGTAACAATATTTTAAAATAAATTGAGCCAAAAAGTGTAAAAAAAAATAAGGGTTAAAGTAGCTAAAAAGTCACGTTACTGCGGAAAGCTCTGTGATTGGTTGTGACGTCACAGGTTTACTCGAGCCGCCTAGCCAACCAGTAGAAATACAGGACTTGTGGCCATATACACTGTTGGTATACACAGGCATACCTTATTTTTAGGTTAAAATAAATTACTGCTCAAGTATCATCGCGTGTATTTACTTGCTGGCTGCCACAATGATACAAAAGACCGATAACTCCAACATGGAAGTTTTCATCACTGTTCTCTATTTCATGTCTGGAAAAAGTAAGTTTTCGTCACTGATGTCTGTATTTAATGTTGTGGAAGGACTAGGGACGACCATGGCCAGGGGATGATCAGATGACAGGTGTTATTTAACGTGCTTCATAGCTGGATGGCGGAGTTCTTGATAATACTCTACAATCATAAACACATTTACTTGTGGTAAATTTCTTTCATCTGCCTTGATGAGCCATGGAAGTAGTTGTGCAACCTCCTCGGCTGATCGGCCTTAACTAAATATTATTATATAAATTAACTGTACTTTACTGTGCAACACAGTTATGCTATATTGAATATATAAATATTACTAAGCACACTAACTAATTCAATGGATATTAGCTGCCCATATAACAAATTTCATAGTACAAACATTCCAAACAATAATGGTATTATTTTGGTTTCGGTCATCTGGGGAACCTTAAGACTCTAACTATGGGGTTAAGTACTTTAAACAATAAGACACATTATCTCTACAGGATTTCTGTCGCAAAACATTTTTCGATCGCATAAGAAAATACAGATCATATGTTAGGTTAGGTTAGGGTATGATGAGTTATACGGTCAGCTTAACATACATCAGTAAGGGCGGGGGTAGTAACTCAAAACTTGTGATTTCCGATAGAAATGAAGGTCTAAATCGTTCATAACACATCGCAAACCACCAGAAAAAACATAGTCTGCATGTCTAAGTACAGGGATGACCAAAACTTAACATTTACCTAATATTGCCTACCTCGAGTCTAAACATCAAATTACTTATGGTAGCTAAAGTAAAAATTTACCCATTAATTAATATAAATGATGATATATCCCAAAGCATTCTCAAAACAAAGTGTAGACAATGTCATTACTTCTAAATTGACTCGTATCACCATCTAGTACTGATATACTCTGTAAATGCACTGGAAAAAAAGCGAGAGAAAGTCTACCAGGCAAGAGTATACTACAGCTGAGCTGTCCAAAAGAACATAAGAATGGAGGAAACTGCAACGGGCCTATTGGCCCATACTGGGCAGTCCCATTTACACCCAACCCCAATCGCTCATATATCCATCCAACCTATGTTTGCAGCAGCTCTTCACGGCACATTTATTCATTTACTAAATGTCCATGACTTAGACCATAAAAAAACACCCTTAAAACTTACCTGAAAATGGCATTTGGGGTCTGAAGAGGACAACTTTTGTACTACCCCCGACTGCAGCGGCGAGTTTGTTGGAGAACGCCGTCTGCTGGGAAGCTGCTGACGCTATTGCAAATGCCAGTCCTGTTTGTAGAGAAATAAACTTATCTCGACTATTATAGCAGGAATTTAAACTTTTATTACAAATTATTTATACCGTATCACTGTATGAACGTGGCAGAGTGTATTTCTTGTGTTTACCCAGACCCGTCTACTCGTCCATTACATAGCATTAAGATTGTTTATTTTTTTAGATATCTCCCTTATCTCTCCAGCCAAGAAGGTTAATTAAACTCTAATAAAACAGTTGTCAACCATCTGTGTAAATCACGTATTCACCCAGATAAAATATATCACTGTTATCACTGGGCTGTGTGTTGTGTTGGGGACCTTAATTTATCTTGGAGAAAATGATTATATGAATACCCAACACTAATGACCTTACTAGTAGCCTTCCAACACGGTGCATTCATAGGGTATAGCTCATTAATCTTTAAACACTTCCAGTTATTGTTCAGACCAGGTACAATAATAGGGTTAAAAAGCTGTGTACAGGTATAATATTTAGACAGGTAAAGGATGTGGATAATGTCTTTGCTGATTTCTGTTACTGTTGTTAATGGTGTATAAGGCACTAGTACAGACACTTATATTAACCCTTTCAACAGTCTGAGGCGCCAACCACAGGGGACAACACTGCCGCTAATGGGCTCATTCTGCCGTGCCGTCAACAGGGGGGAGAACTCCGAACCTCCATCAGTAGTACAGTTGGGGATTTCGGCACCTGGAGAGGTTTGTGGCGACCTTGACTCTGACATCTGACCTTTTTTTTATCAATTTATCTATAACACTGTGTGGATAATTACCATAATGGGGTGATAATTAACTCGTATCTCTATAGCATTAGTTTTCAGTATCATTACACCTCCAGGTTTCATACTGTTCTTTAGTTATATCTTATGAAATGTTGTAAAGTTGATATTATCCTAACACTTGATTGGTTCATGTGGAGTCTAAGCACACAAAATACTCCTAAGTTGCTCTACAATGCTTGTTATAGAGTACCTGGTCATTAGGTATTCCTTAAACGTGTCTTGAGACTTTGTTTATATATTCTTTTAGAACCTGTGACGTGCCCGATCCCAGAGTACATTCATAAGTTCCAACTGAGGGTTGAGACAGAGAACGCCTTCGACGACACCGCGGTCAACGATATCAAGGTCACCTGTACACATTACCCGGAGGTCAGGTCAAGTTCTGGTCACTAACAGCTGGTCCAGTGTTCACCCCCCATTGACGTTTGTTCAGTCATCAGTCCAGAATGACATCAATTATTGTTTTGTTAATCATCCATTTATTCTAGATTGTAAGTACACAGACAAACAAACAAAATAAGATATTATTATTAATTTATCGCAGGTGTCTGGTGTTAAGTGTTGCTGTTGTCTCCTGCAGGATGTGCTGGACGGCGGGGGCGAGACCTGGGGTGTGTGGGGGGACTGGGCCTCTTGTCCCGACGACAGTGCCGTCTGTGGCATCCAGACCAAGGTTGAGCCTTACCTGGGGGTGGTCGACGACGACACCGCCCTCAACGACGTCCGCCTCTTCTGCTGCAACACCGTCTGGTAGCTTCCTGCTAGGTCCTATTCCTAATAGGCCAGTTTTTATGGGTCCCAATCTTCGTGGTCTTTTAAGATACTGAAGCCCACGTATCTGCCACCGTCTGCATCATTGAAATAAAATCTTTACTAATAAGTACAGTGTGTTATAACCTTCGTGGGCGGTGGTAGAAGTCGGAGATAGTGGTATAGTGGAAGGGAACATTGGGACAGTAGTCCAGTGGAAGGGAACATTGGGACAGTAGTACAGTGGAAGGGGATAGTGTGGCAGTAGTACAGTGGAAGAGGACATTGGGACAGTGGTACAGTGGATGTGAACAGCGGGACAGGTCAGGTTACGGTGTGTACTGACCCAACACACACAAGGGTCGCCCACTTAACCTGGTGAGGGAACAATCAGACTCGTCAATATTTGTGGTGCTGCCGCCTGGCGTCTGTCCTGCTACGCTCCCCCGCTACCGCTCCCTGTCCATATTCGCGGGGTATTATCTTGCGTCTCTTTGCGTACGTTTTAACATTTTTCGTGATTTGGCTTATTTCTGTGTATATATTCCGATGAAATATTTTTATCTGATAATTTCTGTGGCTGTATTCTCTATGAATTCTTTTTTTTCGAGATTATTTCGATATCCCTTATAGTAATTGTTCATCTTCGTGTCCTAATCCTTTCTGAATCGTTTAACATGTGTATACGGTCCCAAATCCGCCGTGAATTGTTTGATAAAGCTGTTTTTTAAGTAATATTTGTTTCAGTCCGTTTCAGTATCCTTCATGAATTATGTGACAAAATTCACGTTTAAATTCACATATAAACATGCGTAATTTGTTGGTGTTATTCATTTACGCAGTAAGACTATTTATGTGGTAAAATTACCGACGTTTTAATACTGTTAACGAAGTAAATTTTTACGCCGTAACGTTTATTTTTATGGTAACTCGCTCTTTACATGTTAACACTCTCTTGGTCACTTGGTATTCCACGTTGATAAAGTCTTTCCAGGAACATGTATACAGGAACTATATGTGTGAAATTGCTTTTATTATAATATATGACAGAATGATATGTGAAGATAAAAGAGAAACTGTCGAACAACTCAGATACGACAAAACCACAAGAAGGATAAAAAGAGACGAGAAAACCAATTGTCTCTCCCTGAAAACATCGGATGAAAAGATTAAATCTCTGACTAAACACAAGAGCAGAAATCAGTTGTCGCTAAACAAATATACGAGAGACAAAGACGAGTGGGCACAGGAGAAACATTCCCGTCTGGAGGTTTATGTTTCTTGCAGTCTCAGATTTCTCGCCAAATTGTTTGTTTACATCGGGGCATGCGCACGTTTTTCTTCCGTTGTTTGTTGATGTCTGCGCATGTGTGGGTTTCTTACCATGCGCGTGTTCCTATCGTTCGTATATATAAACAGATGTCGCCCTCATCTCCTTACTATTTTTTCCTGATATTCTCTTCTGTTCGGGAGGACCGGAGTAAACATTGAAGATTTACGCAGTGATGAAGCTGGAGCAATTCTTTATCTATGGGACGTCATATAGATGGCTCTCTGGTTGTCGTCGTTGAAGGCAAGTTGGATAAATTATACAAGCATCATTTACACGCGGGATTGTCCATAAAAACTAATACTCTTTTAAGTTAAACAAATTAGTGGTGGATAATGTTGGTGTTGTGTTGGTGAAGGATTGTGGTTGTGTTTGTGAAAGGTGTGAGGCTGTGGTGGTGATGGTTAATGGTGAGGGATAGATATCGTACATAACCTTGAACTGTTGTTGTGTGTTGATGCATATATACACACACATAAACACACACACACACACAAGGCTAAAATCCACACTATGTTTATTTGCAGATCATCAACTGAGTTGGGGATCAACCTTTTCCTTTTAATTCTTGGAAACTTTTTTTTAATTTAAGTCTCAAATCTATATTGTTGTTTTGTTTTTATGACCCGATTCATATCCGTTTATAAAGATAGTTTCTAAGATATCAATCCTCGCTTTTTTTTTTCTTTTTTATTCTTTATTTTGTCTTTTTATCTCTTTTATTATCCACCTGTTTCCCTGTCTTTTGTGTGTGTGTGTGTGTGTGTGTGTGTGTGCGTGCGTGTTTGTCTTTTTTAGTATTTTTGGTGGTTAATTTTGCCATTGTGTCTGTTTTAAATATACCTGTCTGTCCTTCAGGTTAGTTTAATGTTTTCTATTTGTGATTCTTTCTGTCTTTTCCTGTTTGTCTGTCTATATCCCATTCATTATATCTTTGTCAGTCTTCTTCACCTCGCTACCTTGTTCCATTTCTCGTCTTTTATTTCTTTCCTTCTCTCTTATGTCATTGTGGTCGACTCTCTCCATTCTTTCTCCCCCTCCTACCCTATCCCCCCATCCTCCCCTCCCTTCCCTCATGACCCCTACTCTCCCCACCTCCCCACCTCCCCAAGACCCAGTTGTCCCCACCACCACTACATCCTCGTCTACCTCGGGAGGAGACAGACAAGTTCTTCATCATCATCATTATCATCATCAACGTCGCTCCGGATCTCGCAGGACCTATGTTAGACACCCTAAGCCCCCACAGGTGAGTCAGACACTCCCTTAGCCCCTACAGGTGAGTCAGGTATGCCTCAAGCCCCTACAGGTGAGTCAGACACCCCCTTAGCCCCTACAGGTGAGTCAGGTATCCCTCAAGCCCCTACAGGTGAGTCAGACACCCCCTTAGCCCCTACAGGTGAGTCAGGTATCCCTCAAGCCCCCACGGGTGAGCAAGACACTCCTTTAGCCCCTACACCTGAGTAAGGTATCCCTCAAGCCCCTACAGGTGAGTCAGGTATCACTCAAGCCCCCCCACAGGTGAGCCAGACACTCCCTTATCCCCTACAGGTGAGTCAGACACTTTATTACCCACCACAGGTAAGTCAAGCACCCCAAGTTCTCACCCATAAATGAAAAAATAAACTCATGACAATTTACCCAAACTTTCAAATGTCGTAGAGGTAAATTTTGCCAATCTTTCAAATCTCATAATTTCTTCAAAACCCTTGAAAAAAATTAAGCTCGTATCTCCCCTCCCCCACCTGCGTTTACAGTCGTACGTGGAATTGATAGCTGAGGCACTGGAGTCGTCGCCTTCAGGAGCTCTCACCCTGGCTGGCATCACACACTTCCTCCGCCGCCAGTACCCGTTCTTTCGTGGCCCATACCAAGGCTGGCGGAATTCTCTAAGGCACAATCTCTCCCTCAACCAGGTAGATACACAACCAGGTAGACTCACAACCAGGTAGATACACAACCAGGTAGACTCACAACCAGGTAGATATACAACCAGGTAGACTCACAACCAGGTAGATATCATAGATACAACCAGGTAGATACACAACCAGGTAGACTCACCACCAGGTAGATACACAACCAGGTAGACTCACAACCAGGTAGATATACAACCTACACAGGTAGATACAACCAGGTAGACTCACACCAGGTAGACTCACAGCCAGGTAGATACACAACCAGGTAGACTGTAGACTCACACCAGGTAGATATACAACCAGGTAGATACACAACCAGGTAGACTCACAACCAGGTAGACCTACACAACCAACTCACAGCCAGGTAGATACACAACCAGGTAGACTCACAACCAGGTAGACTCACAACCAGGTAGAACAGCAGGTAGATATACAACCAGGTAGATACACACCAGGTAGACTCACAACCAGGTAGACTCACACCAGGTAGTAGACTCACAACCAGAACACACCAGGTAGACTCACACCAGGTAGATACACACAGGTAGACCAGGTAGATATACACCACAACACAGGCAGGTAGATACACAACCAGGTAGACTCACAACCAGGTAGATACACACAGGTAGACTCACAACCAGGTAGACTCACAACCAGGTAGACTCACAACCAGGTAGATATACAACCAGGTGAGATACACAACCAGGTAGACTCACAACCAGGTAGACTCACAACCAGGTAGATACACAACCAGGTGGACTCACAACCAGGTAGATACACAACCAGGTAGACTCACAACCAGGTAGATACACAACCAGGTAGACTCACAACCAGGTAGATATACAACCAGGTAGATATACAACCAGGTAGATACACAACCAGGTAGACTCACAACCAGGTAGACTCACAACCAGGTAGATACACAACCAGGTAGACTCACAACCAGGTAGATATACAACCAGGTAGATATACAACCAGGTAGATACACAACCAGGTAGACTCACAACCAGGTAGATATACAACCAGGTAGATATACAACCAGGTAGATACACAACCAGGTAGACTCACAACCAGGTAGACTCACAACCAGGTAGACTCACAACCAGGCAACCTTCAGTCTCTCTTTAGTTTCATTAACTGTAATGGTTGGCGAGAGTTCAACAGGTCTCACGATACACTTGCTTAAAACACGTCTCACACACACACACACACACACACACCTCTATTATTAAAATAACAAACAGCTCCTGATTTATGCACTGTACACACTTAATGCATTTAATACTGATCACGTGTGGCTATTGATAAATTTTAAACCTTTAAATAGTGAGAATATTTCACCTTCAAACACATAACTTGAGAATATTACACTGTGAGAAATATTACCGTAACACTATTGAAATTATTGTATGATTCGTTTAATTAAAAGTTCATCATATGTTTATAGTTTTGTTGTGTATTTAACAGGTAATTTAAATCTCATTATATAACACTGCTTCTGTTTACCTGCTGACTTGTTCCATAATTATATTCTTTCAGTGATTATGATAAGTTTGGTATTTTCAGATGGTTCCTAAAATAAAATCATTCAAAAATAGTTGTTTCGAGATAAGAGACTAACGAGCTCCCGTAGTACCATAAAAAAGATGTTTATATCCGACAGAGTGTAAAAAGTATATATCTTTAATAATGTCCTTATTGAATTTATTGCACGAGGCGATCACTGTGAGGTGGACAGGACGTCATCGACCAATAACAACTTCTCACTTAGTGCAAATGTGACCCCACTAACAGTTTTCTTTAGGAACAGACGAAATTAGTAGTTTGTACCACGAGGCCACTTAAGTGTGAGTACTTGAAGGATGGTGTCAGGAAGGAATGGAC